AAAGAAGAGGAATTTTTATGACCATTAGCTACAAGAAAGGGATTTCAAGCTTTTCCCTTAACTTTTGTTTGAATTGAGAGAGTTCAGGGAAAAAGGGAGGAAAGTGAAGAGGTTTTTCTTTTCTTTTGTTTGGATAACAACATTAAAGGAAGGTAACGGAAGGGGAGGTAGATGGAGGGGAGATGAATCCCCTCCAAATCCTTTATTTTTAATTCTTCCAATTTTAGATAATTTGAAGGGATTCAATTGATTTTTATTTTTTACTTTTTTTTTGAAATATGTAATTAAAATTTTTTATTGTAGTTATAATTTTAATATATAAATTTATAAAATTTTAATTAATTTAATAATTAATTTTCTTTAATTTATTTAATAAAATAAAAATATATAATCTTCCCCTTCCTTTCCTTCCTTTTTTTTAATCTATCCAAACAAAATTAATACTAATCCTTAGCTCTTCTTCTCTTCCCCTCTCTTTCCTTCTCCTTCCTTTCCTTCCCTTTTCTTTACTAAATTTGTGAATAGTGAGCAACAACGTAGTCCTATACTCGTGGGTCTTTTCTTTTTCTTTTTCTTTTTTTTATCTGAACAACTATAATTTTAAAGAATGGGATTGAGAGCCTTCAAATTTTGATCGAGTGGGTAGCAACTAGTATTGCTTCCACCTACCCCATAGGCTAGGTTGTAACTTGTAAGTCTATTAATTTGATTTCAAGGGATTCTGAAGTTAATTAGTATATAAAAATTCTATTGTGATTAACGAACTAATTTGTCTAAATCAATTTACTACCCTCTTTATTTCTTATTTATAGTCAGAGAATCTCAAACTAATTTTTATATATTTCAAAATTAATTTTTTTTAAAAGATCTTAAGAGTATAATTACATATAAGCATGTTATATTTAAAAAAAATTAATTTCTTTTAAGTATTGTAATTTACTAGATGATATTCACTGATGAATCCAATGTCTTATAGTTAAATCAATTTATTACTCTAATGAGTACTAATTTTAAAAAAATTAATCCCTCAATGCAGTGTCTTGGTTTTGAACTAGAAAAAAAAAATGAAGAATTTGACAAATAATGTTATTAAATATAAAATATCAATTCACATTTGAGTCTTGTAATCCAACGACTTTAAATTCAATTGTAAAGTGCATCCATCGATCTTAAAATTGAGATTCATATTCCTTATCCCCAATTGTAAACTGTTTAAAAAGAAAAAACAAAATACTAATTCGAAAATAGAGATTGAAGGGAACAAATAAGACCATAGAACTTAAACACTAAAAAGGGGGGATTCTTTTCCTTTCTGAAAGTAGAAATAGTTAGTCCAAAAACGAAAGATTCTTTAATCAAATCACAAAGCTTTGCCGAATAGTGGGGTAACAGTGACAAGACGAGAGAACCTCCTGACTTTCATCTGCCATTTTCTTGCTGTTCGCCTTCACGGCAGGCCATTTTTCGTGTAACAGTTCAAATTCGGCCATTAATTTAAAGGTTAAACTCTCAATTTGGTCTGGCCCTTAATTTAATCTTTAAGTTGAAAAAATCTTTAATTTAGTTCTTGAATTATTTTACAGACCCCCGATTTGATCTCTATTATTTACTAAGTTACCTCAAGTTGATCATTTCGTATAAAAAATAGATAACGTATTTGTTACGTAATGTCAAAAAACAGTAACTTAACAACTACGTGTTATGTTAATAACAAAATACGTCAATTGGTTTTTGTATGGAAGAACCAACTTAAGGTAAATTGGTAAATAGGTAAATAGTAGAGACTAAATCGATGATCCATACAATAGTTTATGGACCAAATCAGGAATTTTTTTAGTTTAAGGATCAAATTGAAGATCCATACAATAGTTTAGGGATTAAATTAAAAATTTAACCAAATTTAAACAACTATTCTTTAATCACGTTGACGTAGGGCCTATGAAAATGTTAATTTTGTATTTTTTTATTTAAAAATATTAATTTTAAATAAAAATGTTAATTTTTAATTTTTTATTTAAAAA